AATCAATTTTTCGACCTGTGCCATTGATAGGCGATTTAGGTCCATTTTTATAGGCATTCACTCTTAACACTTATTGGAGAGAAGTAGAATTAAAAAGCCCGATTCCCTAAGTGGTTTTGAACTACTGAAAACTACTGCATCGAAATCCTAACGAAAATAACCATAAGGGTTAATTTTCCCTCTATTGTACATGTACTATGATGCCAATATTATGGCTCACTAGGAACGCCCACTAGATCTGAAGGGTCTGTTCTATACCCCTGGTCTTCTGACTATCCCCACGTTTGGCCTATCTTTAACACGTTAGTGTCAATGCTAATGTGAAGACCTTGTGACACCAAAATTTGTAGTGTTTTCTTAGTTGAGTTAATTAGTAATTGCTTACTTCTGTGCTAATGAGCTTGCTGTGGCACCTTTAAACAAAGGAGGCAAAAAAATTATTTTACAACAAAAAATTCGGTTTTTAAAACTGATCGAGTAAGACATAACAATTTTGTGTGACAATAAATGCATGTTAGTTATATAAATTTGTGAAATCCTACAGATTGGTATTGCATTGATTTCATAATTTCTTAATCCTACAATTGAATATACTTTAAATGCATTATTTTGGAAAAACGTAGCTCACAATTTTTTGTAATACTGATCGAGTAATAAATAACAATTTTGTATAACACTCAGTTAATTGAATAAATTTGTGAAAAGCCGCAGATTAGTATTGCATTCAATTAATAATTTCTTAATCAGCCTATCGAATTTACTTGCATTACCACAAAAGAATAGTTTCAGGAAGCTTCCTTTGTTCAAAGGTGATAAAAAACAATACTATAGTTTCAAGCACCATCATGCTATTGATCTGAACTAAAAAAACACCTCAGCACTTGACAAAAATGAAAATATTGCTCACCCAAAGAAAATAATTGTGATCAGTGAGAACTGAAATAGGCAGTGATTTTAAAGCATGATGCACGTTTAAAGTACAAAAAAAATAAATAAATAAATAAATATATATATATATATATATATATATATATATATATATATATATATATATATATATATATATATATATATA